CGAATGATAGAATGTCTGAAGAAATACATTCTAGCACTCAATTGGTCAAATTCCTCACTGGTGAGTTGTCTGATTTCTCGGTTAGGAAAGTGGGTAGTTGTTTTTCCTGGAGCTAATTTTTTAAGCTGGTTGGTTAGGGTTCGAATAGTGGCTCTCAATTATTTTTCTTCGTCTCGGAGCTGGTCTAGCTCTTCACTGACCCCTTTGCCTTTATCCATAATTTTCTTGAAATTTCTGGTAAGGCCTTCGCAATGTCTACACATCTGGAGGGGATTTTCTGAATCTATCTGAGGGTTAGAACTACTGCTTCCAATTATCTGGCTAACTGGAACTCCACTAGTAGCAAGAATGGTTGACCTCATCTTGCTTAATGTGTCTAGGTAATCTTTAGCTATCTGACTGATAAAATAGCTGGTTCCTATTTGTCTTCAGGCATAGGTACTAGCTGACTCGAAATCATAAAATCCTTTAAACTGGGGTATGGGAAAATTTTTAACTAAGGGTTCTACTTCTATCCAGTCATGGTAAATACCAGGCTTGGTTCCTTTAGCTACTACGTAGAAAGAACAAAATTTAGACAAGGGTTTATTTTGGATTTTTGAAAAATATATACTAAAAGAGTTTAAGGCCGACAGACGTTTAGCTGGGTGGTTATGGCTATTCCAAAGGTTATCTAAAAGACACTGTTGGACTGGGTCTACGTCTATTCCTGTTAATGGTCTGAACTTGTTTCTGCCTTCATGAATGGGAAGAGCGAATCCCCCAAAGTTCATGGTTTTGCTGTTCTCCATTATTTGCACAAAAATTAAACTGGTTATTTTCTTTTTCTAAATAAATTTTCCTACTTAACCAATCTGTTAACCTATTATCGCTCCCTTTAATATGTTCAAACTCTACTTTATATCCTTATCCTACTATACAATCTAAAAAATTTGCCCATCTTCTAGCACTTAATTTACGCTCGTTAAGTTTATTATGAAATCTAACTATAGCTTCACAATCTGTTCTAATGGTAAAAGGTTTGTGCAAAAATAATCTAAATTTATTTATTGCATACACTACTCCTAGTATTTCAAAATCTAGGCTGGTCATGGTCGTATCTTTTTCTTTAAATTTTCCAGAACTATATCTGCAAATGCGTTCTTTATTTTTACTATCATCCTTACTAGGTTTGGCTAATAATATTGTTCCCCATCCTAATTGACTTGCGTCTGTTTCTACGACTATATATTCTGATTCTAAGGGAAGTTGTAGGTCTGGTAAATTTCTACAAATGTATTTAATTTTTCTAACTAGAGCTATATCTTGTTGATTAAAATATTTTTGTCCTGTGGGTATGGTCTTGTTGTATAGAGGTCCTATTATTTTACTAAGGTTAGGAATATACATTCGTGCATAATTTAAGATTCCTAAAAAAGATTGAAGTTGTTTTGTATCTTCTAATTTATCTGGATATTCTAGGATTTTCTTGACTATATGAGGTTGTAATCTAATTTTTCCATCTCCTATCTCCATTCCTAAAAATTCTATATGTGATGTAACGCCCTCAAAATAATAACATTAAACCCATCAAATAAGACATTCATTGACATATGAAATAACCACATTCTTTTATTCATCAGAGTTTCATTACAAAAGTATTACATGTTAACAACAAAAGCAAAATGCCCTACAGGCTTACAGCTTTCCAAGTTAACACTTGGTTACAACAAAAGAGTACTAACTCGTTTACACATTAAGCCCTTGGCTTGAATTTACATGTAATACATCAAAAATAAAACGACAAAAGTATGTCCGCCTCTAGCCTCCCAAGCTATGTCCTTGGAGGTGGCATGCTACCTGTACCTGAAAATGATATTCCCATATAGGGTGAGCCACAACCCAGTAGAAATACACTAAACCAACCATGAACAATGACTAAAAGATTAGCAACTGATAGACGGTCAACACTGACACTTCCATTTACATCTCCCTACGTTACCATGACAGCCAAGTCTATATTACAATTCACTTTTCATTTTTGTTCAACTTTGAGTTTGAAAACAAGGCTCAGTACTCTGGCCAGAACGTTTGATGAGATTATAGTTCATCACTAGAACACTTTCGAAATCCAAGGTGGATACACATTATGGTGTTGTACCAATAACACATAAACTACTCCCATACTTCACAAACAATGATGATATACATTTGAGTGCTATATCAAATCAAACAAACTTTTCAATAGATAAGCATATGAGCTATATCACTACTACAACAGATAAGCATATGAGCTGTATCAACACTTCAATAGATAAGCATATGAGCTGTATCAACACTTCAATAGATAAGCATATGAGCTGTATCAACACTTCAATAGATAAGCATATGAGCTGTATCAACACTTCAATAGATAAGCATATGAGCTGTATCAACACTTCAATAGATAAGCATATGAGCTGTATCAACACTTCAATAGATAAGCATATGAGCTGTATCAACATTCCGATAGATAAGCATATGAGCTGTATCAACACTTCAATAGATAAGCATATGAGCTGTATCAACACTTCAATAGATAAGCATATGAGCTGTATCAACACTTCAATAGATAAGCATATGAGCTGTATCAACACTTCAATAGATAAGCATATGAGCTGTATCAACACTTCAATAGATAAGCATATGAGCTGTATCAACACTTCAATAGATAAGCATATGAGCTGTATCAACACTTCAATAGATAAGCATATGAGCTGTATCAACATTCCGATAGATAAGCATATGAGCTGTATCAACACTTCAATAGATAAGCATATGAGCTGTATCAACACTTCAATAGATAAGCATATGAGCTGTATCAACACTTCAATAGATAAGCATATGAGCTGTATCAACACTTCAATAGATAAGCATATGAGCTGTATCAACACTTCAATAGATAAGCATATGAGCTGTATCAACACTTCAATAGATAAGCATATGAGCTGTATCAACACTTCAATAGATAAGCATATGAGCTGTATCAACATTCCGATAGATAAGCATATGAGCTGTAAAAGTCAAAACACGGAGCTTTAACCCAGTCGCCCCGCTCGAGCGTCAAACACCCCGCTCGAGCGTCACTCACAGACTCCCGCTCGAGCGGCGGATACGCACTCCCAGAACTTTTATAGAACCAGGTCTCCACTCAAGCTTCCAACTCCCCGCTCGAGCGTCACTCACACAACCCCGCTCGAGCGGCCAACTCCACGCTCGAACGTCTAACACTGCACAGGAAATACTGGATGGGTGCAATTCCCGCTCGAGCGCCAAAACCCCCGCTCGAGCGGACAGGTCAAAATCTGGGCAACTAGTTTTGGTTTCTAAACTCAACCAACCTGTAACAAACCTGCCCAACACATCCTATAACTCAAATACGAAGTAAAAAGGATGTAAACAAGATAATAATCAACTACCAACGTCCACGGACACATGTCCGGATCACTGTACAACAAGGGTAAATCCGGGATCGCTATATGTGACTTATTTAATACCATTTTTTTTTTGCTAATTATTATTCCATTGTTTATGAATTCTTCTAATGCTAAATACAAATGATCCGGGCTGAATATTAATATGCCATCTATGTATACCAGTATAAAACTATATTTATTAAATATACTATCTATTTTACGCTGAAATATGGAAGGTGCATTGTTTTGTCCAAAAGGCATGACTAGCCACTCATAATGTCCCTATGGGCAACAAAAGGTCATCCAAGGTATGCTTTCCTTTTCCATTTTTATCTGCCAATATCCTGACTTACAATCAAATTTGCTAAATATCTTAGCTGTCTCTATTCTATTTATGAGCTGATCTTTATCTGGTATATTGTATTTATCATCTTCTGTATTGTCATTTAATATTTTATAATTTATAACCATTCTAACTTTTCCTCTTTTTATCTCTGCATGATTTTCTAACCATAAATGCAGTGCTCCTATGCGGACTATTACTAGGTCTAATTACTCCTAAATCTAGTAACTCCTTAATATGTGTTCTAAATTCTTCTATATCTGTTGGCGTATGATCTATTTATGCTGAGGTAATCCTGCAATCGTTATTTTTTATATCTAAGCTGGCTAAAATTTTATTTCTTTCCCAATATTTCATGGGTTGTTTTCCTAAAATTTTTGTTGTTTCGGCTAATCTTATTATTTCATCTAAATCATTTTCTGTTCTTCTCTACACTGGTTTTTTCTTTAATTTTCTTATTTTTGTAAAAATTAATTCTAGGTTAACTGTTTGTTGAAAATCTTCTAAATTCCAATAGTCTCTTTTTTCTTCAAAATCTTCTAGATCTTCATAATTTTCTATGTCTAAATTTTCTAAAGAAGTATTTACTATCTCATCAGGTATATATTTTTGGGTTAGCTCGGGAAAAATATTTCTACTAGGAAATAAAAAACTAGCGGGTACGGAATCTACTCCTATGGTACCACCACGCTTCGCACGCAACTCTGATGAATGGGCTATGATGCTAAGGGCATAAGTTGTAGGTGTATGTATTGTTCGCTTGAAGAAGCTAATTATGTTTTGGCTGATAAACATGGCCTTGTAGACTAAAGGTTGGTTTGGGGTGTCCTAAAAAAGTATACTTTTTGTCTTTTTACAAAAAGATGTGTAGAAAAGTAGAGAGGTGATGTGATGAAAAAAAAAATAAAAAGATAGATTATATAGGTTATGCCAAACGAGGCCTAAGTATAAAGTTAAGTCCTAAGATGAAATGATGATTTTGTCTAATATTACCAATCCAAACTTGAGGTAATAGAAACCATTCGATATGCTGAGCTTGAGAACTAGATGATGAAAATTAATATGTACTCCATTAATACAATATGTATATATCTATTTAATGCCATCGACTATACTAACTAAAGCTGAGATCGTTAAAACTGTGCTCCATCCTGGGAAACTACGTGTTGTTCAATGTCAATTATTAATATATGCGTGACACTCACTCGTATGTGTACAGGCGAACACCATTGCTTAAGATCCAAAGAAACTGTAGATAAAATAATGAATGATGAAAAAAAAAAAAAGTCTCAATCATTGTTGTGGGCAAAAACAGGTGCGAACTCGGAACCAACGGCCATGACATCCATCTGAAGACTTCGCCTAAATTCAAAACCCACAGAATACTTCCAATCGATGTCGATCGATTTCATCGTCCTCACACACTCTACATTCGTGAATTCAAATGCTAAAATTTCGGTTCCTACGCCTTTTTGTCTCTCGTTCCAATCTCTCTCCAAAACCCACAACAACATTTCTTCCACCTCTATTCACCTCTCTCTCCACAACTCCAATCACAAAGCCCACATCTCCAATGGCTTCTTACCCCACCTCCTCCGCTTCTCACTCCCCCAAGCTCTTGTTCCGTCAGCTCTTCGAGAAAGACTCCTCTACTTATACTTACCTTCTAGCCGATCAATCCCACCCTGAAAAGCCCGCTCTGGTTCGATTCCTTATCTGAATTCATATTCATTTGCATAGATTTGGGTATATTTGTGTTTTGGGTTGTGGGTATATTGAGGTGATCTATTATGGGTTTGTTTTTTTTTACTTTTTGGGTTTTGGGCTTAGAATTGAAATTAATTGAGCTATTTGTTGAATTTAAGTGTTTTTTTTGTTCTTTTTATTCTTGGAATTTCTTCAAATTAAGGGTATTAAGGAATTTACTATTGTGATTAGCTCAAAATGATGTGGTGATCTTGTTTGATGCTTGTTGAAATGTGTGTATGAGAAAAAATTGTTCATGGCTTTATAAATGCAAGAACTGATACAAAGGGTAAGACTGAATTACAAATGGTGATTGATTGCTAGTTTGACATGGATATAGAAGAGGGAAATGAATTTTCTTGGGTTGTGGCATATTGTTTGAAGCTTTCAGTGATTAATCGAAGTTGGACTAATATTAGTTTTTATCAAGGTAAAGTTTTTGAATTTTAAGGTTAATAATAGCTGTAAAGTGACAGATTAATTCAGATTTAATTTGTATACCATGGTTGAAATTCTAAAGAAGTATGGGGAGTTATGTACTCAAAAGACTCTGAAATGGATTGAAATCAATCAAAATGCCAAAATTTGAACATTTTAGGACTTTGAAGTCTTGTTTTTTATTTTTATTTTTATTATTATTATTATTTTTTTTTTTTACAATCTACTCTTAAATCTCCAAATGTTTGTTTAACTATTGTTTTTGTGAATGTGTACTCTGCTTGACTAGTTAGAATACACTACATATCCAAGCTTTTTAGTAAATATCACTGCAGTTCCTTTTGTTTCTACAGTTTATTTGCATTGTAAATCTAGTGTTATCTATTTGCTTCACTTTCTCTGTTGGTTGCCAAGTTCAGTATATGTTGACATCTTTACCTATATGTAGTTAGTTGACCCAGTAGACAGGACAGTGGATAGGGATATTTCTCTGGTAAAAGATCTGGGATTGAAGCTCATATATGCCATAAACACCCATGTTCATGCGGATCATGTCACTGGAACTGGCCTGATTAAGGTAGGTCAAATTTTCATTTCAATTATGAGCATTTTGTAATAGACCTTTGCTACTGCTTCAAGAAGTGATCATTTTCAGGAAATTTATTTGTGTCATTGGCTTATTTCATTTTACAGTTCAATAGAACCTGTCAGAATCTGTTACTTCATTTTTGTTTTGTTTTGTTTATGTTATTGTGTCTTGCAGACAAAGGTTCCTGGTGTGAAATCTATCATTTCGAAATCAAGTAATGCAAAAGCTGATCTTTTTGTTGAACCTGGTGATAAAATTTATTTTGGTGGCCTTTTTTTGGAGGTAGGCATGCATGTTTCTTTCATATCTGTCTGAAAGTTGAATGCTACAAATGTACATTAGTATTTTATTTATTTAAGCTTCTCTTCATTTTAATAAAAACAACGCCCAATTAGTACACATTAATTTGTGTTTGGGAGGGGAAAGATTGAGTAAACATCCAACCTTTGGCGTAATGCACAAAGTGATGGTCCCAAGGCTTGAACCCATAACCTCAAGGTTATTAGGTCAAGTTTTAATCATTGAACCAATGGTCACCCCTTCTTCTCTTCATTTTAATGTTACACAAAAAAACCATGAAGTGCTTTGTAGATGGCGTCTCTTGCGAAAGAAAACATGCATAGCATGATCAGGCTAATAGGCGTCAAACGGTAAAGACCAGTCAACTTTTAATATGAAATAACATTATCATATCAAGCAAATATGAAAAAACACAAACAATGTTATTTCTATGATTTACTTCAAATTCAACTGCTGATGTTATGATGTGAGGATAAATAAGAATTGTGGTTGGGTTCTAGGTCTTAAAGATGCTTTAGAAAATAGTACCACATACTTCTGCTGAAATGTGAACCTAATGTAGTTGAATTCAACCCTCAAGGGATGATATTACATTTTATATTGTAATTGAATGGTATATGATATTGTATTCTATTTATAGTTTTATGCATATATTGATTACTGTATTAAGGAATTATTTTGAAACTATGAAGTGATACAGTGAATAGCAAGGAGATATAAAAAGTTTGGCTTCATGTAAAGAATAATTTATTAATTTGGCAAAGAACAAACAATTTCAATACCTAGGCTGAATCATACATAGGAGAGAGAGATTCATATTGGTGTTACTCATAGAATTAAGGCAGGATGGACTAATTGGAGGAATGCTGTGGGTTTCTTCTGCGATTGTCACATACCTATGAGATTAAAAGGGAAATTTTGTAAGATGACTATAAGACCAGCCATGCTTTATGGTAAAGAGCATTGCACAATCAATCAAGAAGACAGATAAGTGTCCCGGTTAGAAAGTGTGAAACTACCTACATTGAGGATAATGCTATGGGATGAGTGAGGCCAAAGTTAACTTGGATTATGATAATAAATAAATACTTCTTGTCTTGCGGCTTTTAACTAAGATTATTGTCCTTGATAGAGCAGAATCATGAAACAAAATTCATGTAACCAACCCGAAGTAGTTGGGAAAAAGGCTTAGTTGAGCATCCAGACCATAGAGTGCTCACTGAAATTATACTTGAATTTCCATTTTAAATTGCAGAGACAGAATAAGCGCAACATTCACACTCTGATCAGATTAATGTTTACTACAACAAAATACATAAGAAAATGTAGGCAATAACTATAAGCCTGGTTGTAATTAGGATCATGAATATAAAAGATCCAATATAGCTCACGTCACTTACTTTTTAGTCATGGCCAGTTTGATCAGAATCTCATGTCAGCGGTCTTGAATACGGTCTTGAAGAAAATCTTTGCATGCAATCATGATTCTTCTTGGTTGATCGTTATTACATTCCATGCTTAATAATCCTTTAAGTAGGTCATTTTGTCATTATACAGTTCTACCCTTGAAGGTATCAACATGCTTTGTTGTGTTTTCTTAGAGCACCTCTATGATAGGTTGAAGTGTAAAACGAAAACGTAAAGGGTCATTTGGGAGGTCACTATGTAGTATGTAGGACCTCTATATATAATTATTAATCTACATGTTTATAATGTAGATTAAGGCGGGGTGGCTTGAGTGGAAGAGTGTGTTGTGTACTGTGCAATAAACGAGTACCCATTAGACTGAAAGGGAAGTTCTATAGAACGGCTATTAGACTAGTGATGTTGTATGGGATGGAATGTTGAGCAATTAAGAAACAACATGTAGATAAGATGAGTGTTGTTGGGATGAGGATACTAAGGTGGATGTATGGTAAGATTAGAAAAGACAGTGTTAGGAATGAGTATATTCGAGAATGGATAGGAGAAGTACCAATAGAAGATAAGTTGAGAGAGAATAGATTGAGATGGTTTGGTCATTTACAATGGAAATGGTAGACGTAGATTGACGTGGACTAGTGTAGTAAATAAAGATATGAATCTTCTTAATTTGACTAACGAAATGGCCTTGGATAGAGTCGAGTTGAGAAGAAAGATGCATGCAGCTGACCCCATTTGATAGGCCTTAAGGCTTTGTTAGAATTTACCACTCACCTACTACCTCCACTATCTTTCTCCACACCTACCACCTCCACTATCACACACTCCACTACCATCCACCTCCACTATCACACACTCCACTACCATCCACCTCCACTATCACACACTCCACTACCATCTTCTCCTCTATATATAGGAATTGTAATATACAGAATATCAACAATCTTGTAAGATATCAATCAATTCATCAATCAATAATACAATTCTCTATTTCTCAATTCTCTATTTCTCTTTATACATTAAATTTCTACAGGCTTGGTTTGGTTTGGTTTGGTATGGTATGTTTATCCATGTAGCATGCTTGTGTGCATTTAGTTTTATTGCTTAGTGTTTTCCTCCCCAAAAGCCTGTCTTCAGTCTCCATCTCACTTATCTGATAACAAACTATATATTTTTTGTAGGTTCGTGCTACTCCAGGTCATACCGTAGGATGTGTTACGTATGTTACAGGAGATGGACGGGATCAGCCTCAACCAAGGATGGCTTTCACTGGTGATGCACTATTAATACGTGGATGTGGGAGGACGGATTTTCAGGTATAGTTGTTTGTCAACAATGATTGCTTCTCATTTCTTAAGAATAATATTCATGCATAATGATTTTGAAAATGTGCGGATAGCAAATTACAGATTCTCAATCTTATGAAGCATCATGTAGTGGTGAAATCTTTTATGCCTAAAGCATCATGTAGTGATGAAATTTTTTGGCTAGGCATCATAAATCATCGTTTCTTCCCTCCTGTTCCAGTAGCTGAATGGCATTATATCAATTGTTAGATCTTCCTTCCTGCTTTTAGAGCCTTGAATTGGTATCTTGCCTTCCACTCAATATTTTCATCAAAGCCAGATTCAATGCATGAACGTGGGCTTTTATTATTATTATTATTTTCTGTTTTCTATTGTTGGTTTCTCATGTGATGGGACTTCCAGTGTGTTCTTCACACATGCAAGATATAATGTTCACATGTGCAAGACAAAAATGTGCTTAATTCTTTTCAATGGCGGGGCCTCATACTGTGGGTTGGGTTTACTGCCTGTTTGCGGTGTCCTTTTAACTAAAATTGAACATATGCAGCTAGATTTATTTTATTTTATTTTTTCCTGCAGGGTGGAAGTTCTGAGCAGCTGTATAAATCGGTGCATTCACAGGCAAGAACATGAAAATCAGTGTGTTTTTACCCAAGGAGTAAACCTAAGAAAAGTAAAAAAAAAAAGAAAAAAAGAAAAAAAGAAAAAAGAACTCATAATATGTTTATGCTTATTTTTCTTTTTCTTTCGCCCCTGTATCACTAATTCTATGACATTATATGAGCCAGATCTTTACATTGCCCAAGGACACATTGTTATATCCAGCTCATGACTACAAAGGTTTCACTGTAAGGATACATTTAAGGCCCCTTGTTTATATATATATGTTGGAAAAATGTAGCTTCTTATATGACGCCAATAATTTCAGGTTAGTACCGTAGAAGAGGAGTTGCTCTATAATCCTCGCCTGACAAAAGACGAGGTGATTCCCTATTTGAAAAGTGTATTACTGTTACTTAAATTTTGACATTTTGTTTATCTTGGCTGCATATAGCTAAATAGCAAGGGAGTTATCCAAGTATGGTTCCATTCGGTACTAAGGAAATTTCCAGGAATTTACTCTAGATATGTGTCACCCTCAAAAGTGCTCTTATCATATTTAGGTTTCCTATCTCAGTAATTTGTTCACATGACAGATAAAATCCATGGCGAAATTTGGCACAGTAAGTTTGGAAAGGCATTGAATTACCTTGCACATTGCTTGGAAAAAATAAGTCTTTTTAAACTTGTTAGTGTGAATTCGATAGAAAGCCAAGTGTATTGCAAGAGCTTTTCAAAAGAAAGATAAAAAAGAAGATTTATATTTACAAGAATGCTATGATGGCCAGATTTGTATATCAAAAGTTGTTTACCATTTAATGTGTCATCATGGCATACTCTGTTTGGAAATCTCCAAGTAAGCTGTTTTTTGGTTAAAAATTTCAGAAGTAAAAAGGTTGTTTGGTTTGGCTAAAATACGTAACTTCTCTAAAATTTATTTTATTTTATTATTATTATTATTTTTTTGTGTGTGGAAATCTTTGCAGATTTTGTGTAAAGACGATTTTCGTGTCCCTTTGGTTTCACCAAAAATCAAAAGTTTGAAAAAAAACCCACCAAACTATCTCCATAACAAAAAAAATGAACTTTTTTTGGGCAATTACCAAACATATAAGCTTTTTAAGATTGTAAAAGAATAAAAAAGGTACTAAAAAAGCAATTACCAAACCGTAACTGATAAAATATAGGGGTGCTAGGGCCCATTAAACTAATGCAATGGTGACATATGAGACGATAAGTATTTTTTGGTATACAATTGTGATAATCATAACATTATTATTCTATTTAGCAATGTAATGGGGAGAGGTTGATGCATTTCATTTAAATAATAAAAAAAAATCTCAGTTCAGTCTCCATTTGATACATTTCATTGAAAAGCAATTTTATTCTCTGCCAAAAGACAATTTAGGTTTTATTGCATTCTATTTTGGAAATATATATATATATAGAAGCATGATGGTGAAAACCCTTTTTTTTTTTTTTGCAGGAAACATTTCAAAGCATCATGAAAAGTTAGTAGATTTTGCTACAACATCTGGAAAGCTAGTTTACATTTAGTATTCCTCTTGACAAGCACAAATAACCATATAAAATTCCTAAAATTGTTTCCTAATTCTACAGATTTGAACCTGGCATACCCAAAGATGATTGATGTAGCAGTCCCTGCAAATATGGTTTGTGGGTTGCAGGATCTGGTTCCCAAAGCCAGTTATTAATGCACTTATAGGCCGGATGGACCAAATTACAGTACCAGATGTTAATAAAGGGCTTGATTCTATGTGTTGAGCAGAACAACATAACTAACACAGTTTGCTGCTGTATCTGGGCCTGAAAATGTTGAATAAATGGCCCTATGAAATGGGTTTTAGAAATGATGTTCATTGTAATTAACGTGTTTTTTTTTTTGGTCAACATTTTAGAAAGTTGAGTTGTTAAGTTTGTTAGTAAAGTTAGTGTATAAAAGTGTACCACTTAGAGGGGTCACTGCTAATTCATCAGCTCGAATTCCTGATCTCTCCTCATTGCACCTTGAGGTGCAGTTACTTGCCAAAGTGATGGATTTTCTCGAGATATATATATACATATTTGGTTTAGCTCTGCAAGTACTGTTTTGGATGCATAAACTCAAACTTCTCAATCCTCATCCAAACTTCATAAATCTGCAAGAAAGAAGCCATTGTAATCTTTTCTTTTGTTGAAGTTTTCCTGATTGCTGTTGTTGTGGAGGTCCATTGTTACCACGCGTTTTAAAATTGTGCACAAACTGGGCAAATTTCTACAATATTAGGTCAGGAGCCTTCCGTTGCGCGCCCATCGTTCCGTCATGCATTAAGCATAGTTTGGTACTTCAATTTATTTTTCTTAAATTGGGTTTAATGAAGAAAACTCTGTTTTACATAACCATGTTTGCTTTTAACACTGTATCCTGCATGCATTCATTCAAACAAGAGAAATCATGTTATTATCCCGGAAAACGTTGTACTCTAAAAATGTTAACCAGACACAATTTTAGGCTTTGTTTGGCTATCCCAATTGGGATTAAAAAACACAAAAGACAAAGTTTTCATTTGGAATCTGAGTTGACTTTTTGGCTATTTTTAGGGGCGACGCTACCCTTTGCTTAGGGGTGTCAACTGAACCCCCTCAGTGATTTTTTTTTAATTATTTATTATTATATAGATATTAGAATTTATAACAAAAGTCAACAACTAAACCCACTAAATTATAATTTTGAACCCACACTTTTCAAAACCATTACTTTTTGAACCCTTCAATGAAAAGTTTTTACTTTTGATTTTTTTTTTTAATGATGTCTACTTTTTGTTTAAATATTTTATATGTAAAAAAGTGTTATTTTGTAGTCTTATTTTGGGAGATCAATAGATGAATAATTGTTCGGTTATATATATTGAGAATGATGTATTTGATAATATTGATAATGAGCTTATTATGCAATGATTTCAAAATATGAAATCTCGTCATGGTCAATTGTAAGAGCTCATGTATTAACATGTATTTTTGTTTAAAGAGTAGTATCAATATATTGACATTCCTTTTATTTATAATTTGAGAATTTAAATTAACTTGTTGGTTTTTTTGTAAATAGGTGACATATATGATTAATGTGAATTTTTTTGTATATATGTCATTTAAATTTTTGATTGACACCACTAACAATAATTCCTGGAGTCGCCACAGGCTATTTTAGCCTAAAACTAAAAAGTTTTTTTTTGGATTATTTTTTGGCTTTTTTTTTTTTTACTTTTGTGAGAGAAAAAATGGAATGATTATGATTTGGATGTGACATTTTATCTTATTGACTTTTTAGCTTATTTTATTTTTTTGTGGCTAAAATAGCCTGAAACCAACACTTTTGTGAACCCCACACCCATTTGAGTCATTTAGTTATTTATTTAGTAGGAAATTTGGTATCTCTAGCATTATTCGTAGGTTAAAACTGATTTTTTGATTTTTTATGAAAAAATGTGTAAAAAAATAAAGTGATAATGTGACCCAAACTAAAAGTAAAAAAAAAGTGACTTTTAGCCAAGTTTCTAAATTAATGCCTCGTTGTAAACTATATATTTTAGTTCAAAAGTTCAAAAGTCGCTATAAGTTATCATATCACTTTTTTCTGTATATTTTTTCATAAAAAATTAAAAAGTTAAAATATCATATTCCCAAACGAGGCCTAAGTCAAAAAAAAAAAAAAACCAAAAAGTGATCAGGATTGTATTCGAGTTTTATAGCAAGGAAAATGTTTGAGACTCTCTTTGGGGATGACTCTTACATCCTAAAAGTGATCATGACCCTCCATATATGTATGGAGTTCACATCATGAGTGATTCAAATTTGTAAGAGTCTTGTAGGTGTTTTGTGGGGTGAGAATTTCAATCATTACTCTTATAGAAAATAAGATCATATATAAAAGGAAAATGTTTGGGGTCCCCTTTTGGGATGACCCACACACTCTCAAAGTGATCCTGATCCTCCATGTATGTGTGGGGTCCGCATTATGAGTGATTCAGATTTGTGGGAGTTTTATGGGGGTGGGAGTCTCAATCATTGCTCTTAAATTTTTAATAGTATCCTAATAAAAAGAATTAATTATAATAAGATAATACTAGTGGTAATTCGTGCTATGTACGGGAACTTTATAAATTAAAAATATATATATAATTATCTTGAACTAATTTAATATTTTGTCTTATATATACATGAAATTTATAAGTTAACTTTTATGTTTATAACCTTTTAAATTATTAGTTTAAAAAAAATTAAAAAATATATATACATATAAATCTATTTAGTGCAATTTTGATAATTTGTATTAAAAAAAGTTAAACCTAATTAAATAAGATTAAATGAGTTATGACATATCTATTCTTGTTATGAAAATATACAAATTTAAAAGTTATAATTAAGATAAATATAGAATTTAATTATAATGTGAAGTGAAGTGATATTTAACAATAATTAAGTGTTGAAGATTCTTTTAATTGAAATTATAGTGAAATAACATCTTGAAATAGTCAAAGTTTGAGTATGTGGTTGATTGAAATGTATAATTTAATTAATTCTCTTATCATATTTGTATAAAAATTGACACTTATGACTATATCATTATAAGTCAGATTATGAAAAAAAAAATTGAGGTGTCCAACATTTTCCATTTGTAAATATCCTATATATTAAAAAAAGAAAAGGAAAAAAGATGTGTAGCTTTTTGGATATGTGTTTATCAATTTTGTTTTATGAACATACACAATTGATGTTTCAATTTAAAAAATAAATAAAAAATAGATTGAATTTTTTAGAGATAAAAGAAGCCATTTAACTCTTCTATATAATATTTAAGATGGACTATTTAATCACATAAAAAAATCAAAATTATATTTAGAGATTATCCCAATATATTATGCTATTATATGTAAACTATAACTAACAAATTAACTATAATATTTATGAAAAGCTATATTAAACTTTCATTTTCAATTAATTGAATTATAATTAACAAACTAACAAATAACAGCAATGGTATAATAGGATAGAAAGATGATAAAAATAAAGAACACAATGATATTTAAAAGTTTTAAATTTATCTAGTTATACAAAAATCTAATGTTACAGTAAAATCTTGATTTTTCAATAAATTTTCACATTTTCTATAAAATAAAATGACAATAAAAAATAAAAAAATTGATACCCATTTTTTTTTACTTCAATTTTATGGTATTCATTGAAGAAAACAAAATTCGATCAAAATCCTTGGCACAAAATGGACATAGATACTTCGATTGCAACCATAATTACCAATACCTTTTCTCTACCATACAAACCTGTAAATAAATACATAACCTCACTAAAATCGAAACCAACAGTAGAGAAAGAGAATCACATAGGGAAAAAAATAAAATTAAAAAATAAATAAATTTATGGAATGGTAGGATATTACCCCCAACTTAGACCTCGTCCCGCCTAATCCGTCAGCTCCACTGCCAGTGCCCGCGAAATTTAGGAGTTTGAATGACTAATTAGATTATTCTTTAAATAAGACTTGAAAATTGATTAATTTTTCCCATTAAGTGATTTAAAATTTTGATAGATATACATCAGAAAAATAGATAAGGGTAAATTATATTGACACCCCCTGAGGTTTATGTTTATTACAGTTCCCCCTCACCTTTTGGAAATTACATCACTCTCCCTGAGATTTAAAGTTTCATTACAGATTGCTCCCTCAGTTAGTTGATTGGTAAGTCAACTAATAGATTTTGCTAATGTCAGCAATTTAACTTTTTTAAATACCAATTTTGCTCTCACTGGGTAAATTAGATTGACACATTTCACATTTTAGAAATTACAATCCCTTCCCAAAGATTTAAACTAGCATTACCAATTGCTCTATTGGTTAGTATTAGTTGAAAAAAAAATTAATTGGAAAAAAAAATTAATTGAAAAAAATTTTGAATAGTCAAATTTTTAATTTTCTGTTTAAAAACCAACGTAAACTCATTTTTTAAATTTACGTTTTTTCCTCAAATTTACAAACTAAGACAACCATTTATAAATAAAAAAAAAATTATCAAACAAGTTTTTATGACACTTTTTAAAATTTTTTGTAAATATAAATTGAAAATTAAAAACGAAATGGTTATCAAACAGGTCTCAAATGGTAAAAATATCGTAAAATTAACAAATAATTAAATAAGTTACCAACATAAGAAATGACTTATCAAAAGATTCTTAGGCTTTGTATGGTTTGATTTTTAGAAGAAAATTTAAAAATAAAAAATTAATTTGGTTAAGAAATAAAAAATAAAAAATTATTATCATTTTTATATAATTTTTATCTTTTGTGTGGTTAGAAATAATTTTTTACAAATTAAATATATTTCTTCATATTTATTTTTATTAAATTAGTTTTTTTTTTTTTTTTAAATGTCAGGGGAGGATCCGTATTAAATTGAAACCTCAGGTGGTGTCAATGTAATTTACCCTTTAAAGTATATGTAAAGGTTAAAGGTAAGCCTCCGTTTGGGAAGTGGGTTGACTTTTTAACTTTTTGGCTATTTTAGCCTGGGCTAAAAAACTTGGTTTGGGAAGGCTTTTTTGACTTTTTTTTATGAGAGAAGAGTGTAATGATTATGGATTAGATGCGATGTTTTGTTTGTTATGGTTAAAATAGCCTATTTTGTCTTTTGTGGCTATTTTAGCCCCAAAACCACTTGCCAAACACCACCAAGGGGGGTCATTTTAACTTAAAAGTTAACACTGTCAAATAAGTACACTGACAAGGGGGGTCAGTGTAATTTACCAAATAAATAATTATATTACTAAATTATAATTCAAATTTAGATATTGTCATATTTTTTTGAGATCCATATCCAAATTCTTATCTTTTTTTATTTTTGTATGGTTTCTATTTGTTTTTTTTTTTTCAATTTATTTAAGATAGAGTTGTGGGTTTCTATTTTTTAAAAAAATTTAATTTATCTATGGTTTCTATTTGTTTTTAATTATTATTGTTTAGGTAAGTTATGATGTGAGTTAGAAATGTGATTGACATGTGAGTTTTATTGATTTAAAATATAATGGTAAG